GACATTTCCTCACTGGGGACCACGAGGGCTAAGTGCCGAGGAGGGACAAGAGCTGCTTGAGCGGAAACTCTCTGTTGGCACAAGTACAGTCGGATATAAATGGGCCATTTCCTGCAGGAAATGAGAAGGTCTGTGAGGCTCTGAGCAGCCGGGTTCTGGAAGAGCCTCCAAGAGAACCGTGAGAGCAGGGCATGAGCTGGCTTCTAGGTGGAGCTTCCTCAGCGAGGAACTGGATTTAGGGTGTGCAAGTTGCCTGAGGAGCTGCTCTGAGTCCTCCATCCTTGAGTCCCGCGGATCCTCTGATCTGAGTACAAATGCCTCAAGTCCACCCAGACCCAAGGCGGGATTAGGCTCTGCTGTGGAGTGATGCGTCATGAGCCTGGCTCCTGCCCCTGCAGTGCCTCATCCTCCAGTGCTGACCCTCTCCATCGCCAGCAGCAGCTCTCTCTTCTCTGGAGATCAGAAAAATCAGAGGTGTTGCCCCACAGAAGCTGTTACCTCATGAGTGGAGCCGGGTCATTTGCTGCTCTCCTCTGTGGTTCCAGGACAATCTTACTTCCTCCCTCATAAATCTCGTCTCCCATCCTCCAGCATCCTGAGAAGATTTATGTGTCTGTTCCCATTTCCCCTCTGCCACAGGCATTACCAGGAGGATGAGGAGGAGGATGGGTGGGGAAAGGGCCAAAGCTGGCAGGTAACTTCCTGGACAGGGCAGTGTGAAGCAGGGCTCTGTTCTCTGAGGGGCAGCCCTGCACCATGTGAGATGAGTCCCACGATGCAAACCCAGCAGGTTTAGTGCCTCTCACTCACAAAATTCACCATCAGTCAGTGCTGGCCAGAGGAACCCAGTGCTGGGGCTCTCCCAGGGGAGATTCCCAAGCTCTTTGCAGGCTGCTGGGCAGGTGATGCAGGACCAGGTGTGGCATCCCACCATCCGACATGGCACAGCACGTTCATGGCAAAGGGCTCTGGGCTGGGGAGGGAGCTGGGCTGGCACATGAGTCGGAGCCCTGGCGCTGCTCACTAGGCAGGTATTCAACCTTTGCGGGCGCTGGTCAGTGATGTCCATGGGAAGAGGTTCCTGACACTTCCTCAGCTCCTGGGCTCACTCAGCAGAGGAGATGTCCTTCCCAACTGTGCTGAGTATCCAGTGGAACCCACTGCTGCAGGACTTGTGTTCTCTGTTGCATTAGAGGGGAATCACCTGGTTTCACCTGTACATCATCCTGTGACCTGCTGTCCCACCTTATCCATGATCGTGGAATTGCCATAGGAACCAGAGCAGAAAAACCACTCACATCTTAAAAAATTGCTGAGATGGAGGATCCACCACTGTGCAAACCCTTTCCAAGCTGCTCCTGAGCCAGCTGGCCTCATTTTTTAAGGAAGTTGCTCCTCCAGCCCTTCAACCCTTGTTTCCAGTTGCCATGAGCAGAGCCTGGAACTGCTGCCCAGAGCCCCATCCCACACAGCCTCCATCCCATGCCTGTCGCCTGCCTCTGTGCTGGCCTTTTTCCTTCCTTGCCCTTCATTTTCTCCCATTTCCTCAGTTTCCCTCTGTGGTCAGGACCACACAGTGCACAGAGCCACTGCCCCTCTGTGGCACTGGGGCAGAGTCTGGCTAAGGGTGATGGTTGTGGGATGGTTACGAGTGGAGACGTGCTGGTTAGCTGGTTTAATGTGTGTCACATTGCTCTGGGATTATCCTGCTTTCTTCGTTGAAATGTCAAATGCCTCACAGAAATCCGAGTCTGCTCCACCGAGGCTTTTACCTCCACTGACCAAACTTGGAACCTCATCAAGCCCGGCAGCAAATGGGTTTGATGAGCCGTGCTCTCCGCAGCCCCGCACTGACTGGCGTGGCTGGTTCACGCTGCCATCTTCAGAGGGGGTCAGTCAAGCTCCGAGTGCATCCCCTGGTCGGTGCCAGCCCACCCACATCCCCTGGACCCCCATGCCAGGGCTCTGCTTCTGCACATCCCTTGCACTGGGCTCTCCCAGGGTCACTCTCCACTTACCACCCCAGCAGGTCCCCAACATCCCCTGTCCCTCAGACACAGAGCCCAGCAGGGCACACTGGAGCGGAGCACCGGGGCTCCTGCTTTGGCCTCAGGGGGTCGCACGGGTCTCTTCTGGAGAGGAGTGACCACAGCCTGGGGGTCCTGTCAGACTGACCCTGGAAGGAGCTGTGGTAGGCTCTGGACCATGGAGGGGCTCCGGTAGACCCCAGGATTGGGGCGTTGAGCACCATTTCCCTGGGACCCATCAGCGCAGGGGGCTCCTTGGATTCAGCAACAGTCTGGGGGGGTCCCATCAGACAGGGCAGCCCCAGGTTACGGGGGGTTCATTATCCATGCTCAGAGACACCGGTGTGCTGCAAACAGTGCCCGAGCACAGCGCTAAATCCAACCACAGCACAGAGCAAACGTGTGGGAGGGTCCTGGCGTGGGTGGTTGACATCCTCAGAGCTGTTCCCAAACAGAGTTGCTCCATGTATAATTTATAGACTTTCCTTTGTCCTTGTGCCTTGTCTCTGATCTCCCAGTGGTTTGGGAGGCCGAGGGGGCTCCAGTGAGGCCTCGCTGACTGACAGTGCCACGTTTGCTGCGTCGGCAGGGGATCAGCCTCGTCCCACGCTGCATCAGCCGTGGCTCGGCGAGGTGCTCGCTGCAGGATCACGGGGCTGGTCTTGCATTCAGACCATGCCAGGGGTGCTCCTGCCCTGTGCCCAGCCCTTGGAGCTGTTCCCAGCACCCTCTGCCCTGTGCTGGTTGGCGCTTCCATTCAGGAACCTGCTGGAGCAGGCTGGCCACATGCAGGCTGCTCTCTGGAGTGCTCAGCTCTGGCACAGACATGTGCCCACTGGGCCCTTCTGCCCTTAGCATGTTGCCCTCCCTGGCACAGCCATGGCTGAGGATGCCACTGGGGGACCTGGACATGGGACACCTGTCCCAGGGCATGGGCCCCTGTATGGCACAAGGGGGAGAGGTGACCCCGCAGCTGAGGCAGGGCCTCAGGGGGCGGCTCACACCACGACTATGGATATCCCAGCAGGCTCTGCCATGGCCAGGAGTGGGTGCCCGTGTCCCGGGCCAGGCAGGGCTGAGGCAATGCGGGACACGAGATGCGTGCTGCTGGCTCCAGCCCCGGCCAGCTCACTCCTCTGCCTGTTGCTGCCCATACTAACGAGGAGCCCCATCCCATCCCTCATCGCGTCCTGCCTCACAGACATCTCCGGGTGTCTGGGCACAGCTCCAAGCTCGGGAAGGGAAGCGCTGGGCGGCGTGTGGAGCAGCATCCCGACGAATGCGGAACGGGGTGTGCAGAGGCGCTGGGGCAGGCGGGGCCAGGGTGGGGGCCAGGAGGGCTGGGTGAGCTCCCTGCTCTGCTGGGTCAGTGCTCACTGTGGGTGTCGGGAGGCACAGGGCACTGGCACGTGCAGCACTCAGAAGTTTGGTTGTTCCAGCGCTGGGGACTCTGGGCTGCTGTGCTGAGTCAGTGCTTTGTGCCATCAAGAACAAGGCAAGACAGTGAGGGGGCCAAGGAGTGGCTGTGCCATGTGTCCGCCTGCAGTGAGAACAGAGGGGCTGTGGAGCCAGCGAGGCTCCCGCCGCCTTGTGCTGAGAGTGTATGGGGCCCTGGGGGAGCAGCAGCCTGTGGTCTGGGCTGGGGACCACAGGGATGGGGGACATGGGACATGGCATGGTGTGATGATGCTGAACTACCACGCACCACGGCTGACATCTCTGTCTGTCCCGCTCTGTCTCTGTCACTGTGCCCTGAAATGAACCATCAGCCTCCCCTGCACCCTGGGACATGCCAGCAGGGCTCCCAGTGTGCCCTGTGCTCCATGTGCCCAGTCAGTGTGATGGGCTGGGGCAGCTGCAGGCAACCCAGTGGGTAGAGGCAGAGCCAGCTGGGCACAGGGCTGGGTGCTGGGGGTACCTCTGGACAAGGCTGTGAAGGAGTTTCTCTGGTGGGTGTGTGTGGAGGAGAAGCCCTACAGAGCTGTGCAGGAAGGATGGCAGGGATGGGGATACGTCTGGGCGCAAACCCCACTGTGCCCGCAGGTCCTGACCCTGTACCGCTTGGGAAGCAATGCTGCGTTAGGGATGTCCCACAGTCTCACCGAAGGTTCTCCCTCCTGCTGACTCTCACGTGCCTGAAGCGGCTCAGTTTCCCCGAGCCGCAGTCCCACCCCTGCCCACAGAGCTGGTCCCCCACACCTGCAGCCCAACCAGCACCTCTGGTGCCCATCTAGCCACACCCCACACACGACGGGTCCTCCGTGCCAATCTGGCCAAGCCCAGTGCAGGATGCCCCATACCCACTCCAGCCATGTCGCATGCTGGACGGCTGCCCCATGCCTTTTCCAGCCCGTGCAGATCTGGTGCCTGTGTGTGGCGGGTGTCCCATGTGCAGTGGGTGCCCCGTGTCTGCCAGTCCCTCACGGGAGCCCCGTGCCCCCCACCCTGCCCTGTACCTGCCCTCCCCCTGCCCGTGCCCCGCGCACGAGGCACCAGCCCTGGCGAGGCAGAGCTATTTTTAACAGCTGCTTCTGCTTGATTTGAGCTGCGAACTCGGAACGTGTTTATGCTAAAGGGGTTTCTTTTCCCTTCTCCCTTTGTGCTGAGGAGGCAGCGCCGCAGATCAAAGTCTGTCTCTTCGCGTTTGGTGATGGCGGGCTGGGAGGGAGCTGAGGCGGGAGGGGCTGGCGGCTCCGCAGGGACACTCGTGTCCTCGGGGGCTGTGGCGGTGTGGCCGGGGCTGACGCACCTCTCTCTGTCCCCGCAGGTCCAGAGCCCAGGAGCCATGGGCAGGCACGGCCGGCATCGGGCCCAATGCGGGCGGCCCTGAGCCCGGGCAGCTGCAGCGGGACGATGGGCTGCGGGCGCCAGCGGGGGCCCGCGGTGCCGGGCAGGGCTGTCGGGGCGGCGTGCCAGGGGCTGTAGGGCCGGGCAGCGGGCAGCATGCCCAGAGGCCCCTCGCCCGCCTCCCGCCCAGCATCCCCTCTCTGTGGCAGCGCGGGATGAGGCTGCCCGCTGCTCCAACAGCTCTGGGGACGGGTGTAGCCCAGGGCTCCGGCCATCAGCACTCGGCCCCCCGCGCCCCACCGCAGCCCCCCGGACCCGCGGCCCTGAGACATGGTCAGCCGTGAGCCCGTGCCTCGCCCGGCCCCTGCCGGCGAGGGCAGCCAGGAGAAAGCCATGACGGTGCGCTCGGTGCTGCTCAACCGCGACTCGCCCGACATCGAGAGCCGCCTCAAGCGCCGGCGCAACCGCACGCAGCAGGTCCGCTTCAAGGACCTGGTGGAGGGCGACTCAGGGCAGGCGGGCAGCCCCCCGCCCGGGCCCGCGGCCACCCCCGGTCCCAACACCCCACGTGCCTCGCCGCCCCCCAGGGATGCCCCTGGGCCGGCGGCTCTCCGTGCCTCGCGGCGCAGCTGGCCCCAGGCACAGCCGGGCTCGCTGACGCTGCCCATGCCCAGGAAGGCGTGCATGAGCACGGCCATCCAGACCTCCCCCAGCCTCCAGAAGCCCTTCCCAGCTCCCCAGCCCCGCAGCAAAAGCGTCTGCGATGTGGCAGGGGATGCGGTACTGCCCGCTGTGGCGACTGCCCGATGCCCGGGGGTGGCCACGCCCACCACCACCAGCTGGGCTGTGCCCCCGCAGGTCCCCGGCAACCTCCCCACACATGATCGCACTGTGGCTCTCGTTCAGCACACCACAGTGTGCCCCCCACCACTGCCACCACCCAGGGATCCCCCTCCCCCTTACCGGGGCACAGCTGGGTACCCTGCTGCCCGCTGCACCCCTGAGCCCTGCCCGCCACCCCCTGCCTGTGCCCAGCTCCGTGGGAGCCCCCGAGGTGGCCACGGGGTCACCCCACGCCCAGCCTCCGTACCCTGTGGCCAGCCCCGACCTCCCGCTGAGCAGCGGGGCCTTGGCCGGAGCGACTCAGAGCGGACCCTGCCCTGCGGTCGCCCACCCCCCCAGCCCTCCCCTCACCGCCGGCAGCCCGGCCCCGCCACGGACACCCATGGCCTCCGCCAGCCACCTCAGGGCAACCCCCCGCGGGACCCCCCGCCACCCCACCACCAGCTCTGCGGCTCGCCATGGGGGGGGCCCTGCTGCACCTCGCCAGCCCCCATCCCACCAGTGCCAGGCTGGCACAGCTCTGCTGCCACCACTGCACCAGAGAAGACACCAGCTGTGCTCAGCACCTGCAGCCGGCTCCATGCTGCCGAGCCTGGGCATGGCCGGGCAGGACCCGAGGGACACAGGGAGCTGCTGCCCCCGGTCCCACAGGGCCCCAGCACGGGGACACAAACGGCTGGGTGGGCACCAGAGCCCCCCCAGCACGGGCAGCCCTGCCTCGCTGCTGAGCAACCGGAGACACTGCACCATGTCCAGGACCTACTGCAGCTGGTGGTGGTTGCCAAGGGACCTGTGGGACCACCAGCGAGGGACGAGGACGCCCAGACATCTCAGGGAGAGGGCCCCTGGCGGCCCAGGGAGCAGGGAGACCTGCATTCCCAGCTGCAGTCACTGGAAGGGGTGCTGGAGACCAGCCAACAAACCATCAGGGTGCTGCTGGACGTCATCCAGGACCTGGAGAAGAAGGAGGCGCAGCGGGACGGGTGAGTAGGCGGGATGGAGCGAGGGGCTGGGAAGACAATGTCCCTTGGGGGCTGGGGATGGAGAACAGGGGACCTTGACAGAGATTTGGGTGCTGCTGCCTCCTGGACAGGTTTCCCTCTGATAAACTCAGAGCTGCTATCCATGTGCACACAGCTCCGTGTCTCAGGGAAAGGTTTCGCCCACACCAGCATGTTCTGCTTGTGCCTGCGGGGCCCTCCTTGTGCCCAAGGATGGGTGCAGGGGGTGCAGGCCTGGGGGACAAGGGGATGATGGGCCGCTGCCCAGATCTGGTGTAGCTGACTTGTCCATCGGTCACTGGGGATGGGGGCCTGGGAAGTCACATCCCAACAGCTGGCTCAGCGGGGCCCATGTCCCTGCCATGCCACAGGTGCAGCTGCCCTGTGCTCTCACCTACTTCCAGCCCCTCCATGGAGGTACCTTCAACACAGATCCAGTGGCCCGTGCCCTCATGATGGATGTGTCTGTGTCCAGGGGAGGTGCCCAGCACCCCCCATCTGGCCTGCCCAGGACCTGCTTCTTTGGGCAAGGTGTCCCCCTGGGCCACCATTCCTTGGCCTCCCAGGCAGATTTGGCAAATGGAGCAAGGTGGTCAGTCCATGACGGTCCCCAGCCGAGACCCTCCAAACTCATCCCACACGAGGGCAACCAACCTTCCAAGAGGTGCCAGTTCTGGCACCCTCCTGTAAAACCTCTGGGACTTGTTCCTGACGCCCAAGATCGCCATCTCCCCCTGGGGCAGCACAGAGATCCATTTGTTCAATCAGATTAAGCCAGTGTTGGCTTAATGAATGAAGTGCAGGGAATGCTGTCTCTGTGCCACCCCTGGAGCGCTGCCAGTGGGGAGGGACCCCCTGGGGTCTCAGTCCAACACCCGCTGAGGCAGGTGCAGCCAGGACAGCTTAATTAAGGCCTCGGCTCCATACACTGTTACAGTCAAGTGAGCAAACAAGACACCCAGAGACACATGGAACAGGACAGGAAATCACATAACACCTTATCCTGGTGTCCTTAGGCTGCGGAACAGCATGGCCTCATTTGCTACGGGTCAGATCCCAGGTGCCTACTGTGCACTAGGGTGGATTCACCAACCCTGACACGTCCTGGCCAGGTCCAGGCACCAACTGCTGGCAACATCCTGCACCAAACACCATCCCAGAGTGAACTGTCCTGGCAAAGGTGCCCATGGGCACACACATGCATACATATCATATATATTTAACACCGAACACCATCCCAGGGTGAGCTCTCCCAGCAGAGAAGTGCTGCTGCAAAAGTCAGAGCCTCAGGCACACACACACACATACGTACAATATATAGATATAAAAGGTCTCATGATCTAATTTGGGTGCTGATAGAATAATCCCCATTGCAATGTATAATTTGGTGCATTATCAGACCCAGTTTCCAAGGGCTGAGAACAACTGTGGTCAAGGTCAAGTAACAGGAGGAAGATTTCAACGGGAAAATGTGACATCTATGTGGGACATGGGGGTGTTCTCTCAGCTGTCCCCCCCTCCACAGCCCTGAGGGAGCAACGGAGACACAGAGGTGGGGTCCCAAAGGGACCAACAATATTTCACAGGGCCCGTTTCTTACAGCTCTGAGAGCAGAGGGAGCCAGGGACCAGCAGGAAGCACCTGCCAGTGGTGCTGAGATGCAGGGGATCCCTGGCACAGCCCCTGGGATCAGGGTGCCTGGGGGATGGGGTCTGGCACCAGCAGCAGAGACACGGAGGGTGCAGACTCCTTCTGTGGAGCAGCAGGAGGATATGGTGGCGTGAGCTGAGCTTGGGCATGCATCAGCTTAATCCGAGTCCTGTGCATCTTCCTGGAGGAGGAGGAGGATGCTCTGGTACAAGAGCACCAAGAAGAGATAAATTCTGAGCCTAACGTAGGCTGGAGATTAGTCTGGAGCATCTCCTTGTGCCCATCTGCCAGGGCAGCGCTGTGCGCCTGTGCTCCCACACAAACACAGCACTCCGTCTGTGGCACTGTGTGCAGGGACACGTGTGGTCACCTGGGGGCTGCGGGAGTGGGGACCCCTGGGATGAAGATGGGGATGGGAATGGGAATGGGAGGGCACAGACAGCAGGAAGGGTTTGGGACTGCCGCTGTGCCCGGCTCTGATTTGCTCCCATCAGAGAAATCTGCGAAGCTGAGAGGCACCGTGCTTGGCCTGGCATTAAATGGGCTCGCGAGGGAGGAGAGCCCTGGCTCCTGGGGTAGGAGCTCAGGGGCAGATGAAGGGCTGGGGGCAGCAGGGGGCACAGGCAGACCCAGGTCTCTGGGCTCACGGCACGTCTCTGTCACAGGCGACACTCGTACCGGACCGGGCAGGACATCGCCAACTGTGGGACCTGCCGGGACTGTGCCTGTATCATCTACAGGTGAGGGACAGCCCTGGCTCCGCGCGCTCCTGGGGGTCCTGCTCCCCTGCACCCCCCGACTCCTCTGTAAGGCGAGGGGGGGGGGCTGTGGGCCTGCACCTCCTGTCCCGGTGTGGGGGGGCACCATGTACGGAGCACTCTTGGGTGTCTCGGCTGTCACTTGGCCTGGATGTGTCCCTTTATGTCTGAGGGGAGCAGCTCCCACTCCCAGGAGCAGCCAGGGTGATCTCCATGGAGGAGCAGCAGCTGGAAGGAGACTGCTCTGGCAGGGTGGCAGAGCATTTATCTCCTGTAATGGCAATCTATTGGGGAAGCCTCACTAGCAGCTGGTGCGTGGGCTCACTCGAGTCCAGGCTGCATCCCGTTGTCCCTGTGCCAGCTTCACACAGATGCTGCAGATGGGTTCCTGCCACTCGCTGGTGTTTGGGAACACAGGGTCTTTGTCTCTACTTCCCAGTGCTGGCTTTGGATCAGGGTGTGGAACCCCCTTCCTCTGCTGACCTCTCTCCTCAGAGCCCATTTGGTCCATGGTGAAAGGTATCTCGCCCTCCCTGCTCTCTCAGGCCCCATTCCTGGAGGAACTGGGAATTCACTCAAGCGTTCTGCTCTTCCAGGCACTCCTTTGTGTTCTTCTGGCCATCCCCTCTGCAGTGTGGGTGGATGGCCAGGTGTGTTGTCATTTTGCTGTTAATTAGGCTGACTCTGGGTGCTGGGATGGGTGGGATGTGGTGCACAGAGCTGCTCCCAAGCCACGTTCAGTGGTGCACATGTGTGCCACAGCCCTGCTGTGCTTTGTGAGCACTGTGCTCCTTTTTTAGTGCCCACCAGGGCTGGGGGTGCCTGTCTCCAGACCCCTCGTGCCCCTGTGCACAGTGATGCTGCCTCAGTGCTCTTGCTCTCCGCATTTTTCCCGCACTCCCCTGCTATAGCTCATGGGGGATTTCAGCACTAATTGGGCCTGACGAGCCTGCCTCCATGCTGCATGGCAGTGCCACAGATGTCACATCTGGGGGAGGTGGCTCCCTGGGATGGCCAGGCTCCCGCTAGGGACTCACCATGGGCTTTGCTGCCACCCGTGGGATGAGAAGAGGCTCTGGTGGGACATGGGATGTAGGAGCAAGGGAAGCAACCCTGACACCAAACCCCAGGGATGGCCCGTGGCAGGGTCAGGACTGCCTGCCCCTGTCCCATCGCAGGGCAATGCACCAGCCGTACCTCCACCCCAGCAGTGCTGACCCTTCCCCATGTCAGTGCTAGGGAGTCAAGGTGCCTCCCTGTGCTGCCCCCTGCTCCGGGGCCACCTGCACCCCTTGCCATTTTTTCCTAGAAATGGCTGGGAACCCTCGGTGTCCTCGCACGGGGAGGTGACAGGAGGTGACAGGAGGTGTTGGAGTGCCAGGGGAGCTTGTGGGGCGCTCCCCGTGTGCGGGGCGGCTGTGCCACGTGTGTTCCCAGGCACACACCGCAGCACCTTGCTGATGCGATGGGACGTGGCTGGTGTGAGGAGACTGACATTCTTCCCGGGAGGAAACCACGGCACGTGGCTGCCAGCAGCCAGCCCGCGCCACAGGGTGCTGCGGGGACACCGGGGGCTCTGGGGACACCCGGGGCTCTGGGGACGGGGGCTGGAGGGACACTGAGGGCTGTGGGGACAGCAGGGGCTGCAGGGACAGAGAATGCTGGAGGGATATCAAGGCCTATGGGAACACTGGGAGCTGTGGTGATACCGGGGGCTGTGAGGACAGCCAGGACTGTGGGGGGACAGCCAGGGCTGCAGGGGCACTGAGGGCTGTGGGGACACTGAAGGCTGCAGCTCTGCAAGGAAACCTGAGGGCTGTGGTGGGGGGCACAGACCCCCCTAACCCACCCAGACCTGGGGCACCCTACTTCCTGCCTCACCAGCCATGTGACAAGCAGCAGCAGAGTCCTTGCGTGCTTGGGCCACCTCCTGAGCCCTTGCATGCTCAGCACCCTCCAGGGCAGCCAAAGCTACCCTGGACCCTAGTCCCAGGGACATGCAGCCCCTCTCCAGGGGACTCATTGCTAATGGGGGTCCCACAGCCCCCAGGCTCGCCCCCCAATGTCAGCACCAGTCCTCAGACAAGGCGGTGTTGGCTCCCACCAGCCCTGGGTGAAACTGTGGATGTTGTTAGGGGGGCTGGATACAGAGGATGGAGGAGCAGGATGGTGGGAGGTGGGCAGCTGAGGGGGATCCACCCCAAAAGACCTCCCTGCCACCAGGTCAGGCTGATACAGGTCTGTCCCTCTGGCAGAAGGCAGCCCAGGATGCTCCAGCACAGCCACGAGGTGGTCTGTGCCACATGCCTGGCACAGACTCCATGGCTGCAGGAAGGATGGGGTGGCTGTTTGGAAGGGGTCTGGCCCCAGAACCCCCTCACAGCCCACAGGGGTGAGTGTGGTGGGCAGGGGCTGTCTGATGGCATGTGCAGCAGGACATCCCCTCACAGGGGCGTGCAGTGACCCTGGGAAGTTTGGCACACCACTGTACTGCCCCAGGAGTGCAGCGGGGCTCAGCTCTGGGGGACATGCCCTCAGTAGATGAGTTCCCTGGGTACTTTTGGGGGGATCTGAGCTCCCCAAGGGCTGTGTTGGCGGACACTGAGCTCCCCAAGGGCTGTGTTTGGGATGCCAGGGGCAGGTGGGCAGCAGGGCACAGCTCTGAGGCAAATGGGGGGCTGTTGCACGATGGGGGGCTGTGGCAGGTGTGGGAACTGTGGAAGCTGGGGTGCCAGAGCGGGCAATACCCTCTGACGCCGTCCCCTCGCCCCGCTGGCCGCAGCGTGGAGCACGATTTCCGGCAGCAGGAGGGCCGCTTCCAGCGGGTGCTGAGCCACATCGAGGGCGACGCCGGGCCCAGCCCCACCCCGACGGCGATGGGGCTGGCGGGGGCAGCGGGGGCAGCGGGCACCACCTCACCACCCAGGCAGGAGCTGTCACCGGTGCCAAAGCTGCCGGTGAAGCTGGATGTGAAGAAATCCCGGCGCAAATGCTTCTGGTTCCTGTGACCACGGCGCCCGATGAGTGCCGACGGAGCGCAGGGGCACCGTCCCAGCACTGACCCCCTGCCCACCTCTCCTCCCTCCCTCCTACGGTAGGGTTTGGGTAGCACCAGCTTTTCTATTTTTAACCATTATGTTTAACGCGGGGAGCCCGGGTGTGGAAATGGCGAGGGGAGCGGTGGCTGTATTTAAGGACAATTCAATAAATTCCACAGAGACGCTATTTTTGTTACATCCTCTCCTGCCTGTGCGCTTTTGTTCTGGAGGAGGATGAGAAGGGGACAGCAGCTGTTGCCCTGGACTCCCCTCTACCTGAGGCTCCCCAGGGCCCCTGGCAGCTCCCATGCCCCCAAGTCTGTCCCAGCTCAAACCAGTGCCTGTCCCTGCACCCTCCAGGGGGTCTGCTGGCCCACCCTCCATTGCTGCCTGCAGGTTGACCAGGAGCACTGAGGATTTCCACTGGTCAGAGAAGGTGGAAAACAGTCTCTGTGGGACCCTGGCCTGGAGAGGAGACCTGTCCCCAAAATCCCTGAGTGGAAGGGTAGGCTGAGCAGGAGTCCCATGGGTAGGGAAGAGGTGCTGATGACAGGGAAACAGGAATGAGCAGCTCAAATATTTCAGCCTCTCGGGGGCTTCCATGAGAGGAGAAACTCGGTGTTGGTTTAACAAGGGTCACAGAGCAGCAGTGGGTGTCTGACATATCCCAAAAACACAGCAGTCAGTGCTCCCTGCACTGTGCTGATTCCCAAACACTCTCCACCACTGTGGAACCACTGGTGAGAGCTCCTCAAAGCCCGGGGCACCTGGGTGCCCACCTCAGCATCCAGGAGCCTGACAGGGTCTGCCATCTCAGTGTAGCAGGAGCAGTCACGGCTTTCCCAGTGGGGCCATTGCCCTTGGGGACAGGGACATCTCCTTGTCTCCTCCAAAAGTATGGGGCACCCCTGGCCATGGCAAGCAGCTGCTGCAGCCACAGATGGGAGTGGAGGGTGGGCAGGTTTGGCCACCACCCACCAGTTGGTGCCCACACCACGGCACCCCAAAGCAGCAGACGCACACATGCAGGAGATGTCTCGGTGTTAAATCCCATCCCTTGTGCTGGGGACCCCCTTTGTACTCAAGGGGCTACAGCTGGGAGAGTGACCCTGAGGTGCAACTCCCTTCTTGCCCAGCAGCAACAGGATGGACGGGCATTGTGGGCACGTGCATCTCCAGCCCCCTTGGCCCTCCCCAGCCACTGGAGCTGCTGGGGCAGCGTGAGCTGAGGGTCTGGGATCCCTGACTGAGGGCAGGGACTGTGGCAGCAGCACAGGAACCATGGACGGTGCTGGGAGAGCTGCTAGACGGCACTTGAGGAGCCCCGAGTGAGCGGCAGGAGCACGGCACAGCCAAAGGATCCGTCCCTGAAGCCCCCCCATCACCCCTCACACCCATCGCTGCTCGGCAGAGCCCCCACGGCGCATTTGGCTCCGGCTGCCCCAGGCCCTGAGTCACACAGCCTGGGAACAAGGGCGAAAAGCAGGATGGAAGCCAGTTTGACCCTGTGTCTATCTCCTGCCTGAGTCACAGCTGCATCACACCCTGGCGCTGAGATCCGGGCACAGCCCTAGTGGCAGAGCTGCTGTTCTGGGCGCCCACACCTCCCCCGGCACGGTATGCAGCGTGGCACAGTACAGCATGGTAATTCCCTTCTCTGGGCTCCCAAAACACAGGCTCTTCACACACCCCGTGACCCAGCACAGCGCCTGGGTCTGCCACCATGTCCACATCAGAGTTCCTGAGCCCCCACTGGCCCCAGCTCTGTCCCCTCCCATCACTGCCGGTGCAGCTGCTCCATGTGCTCTGACCTGCTTCCCCTCCCATGTGTCCTAGCACGCTCCTAACACATGTTCTTGGCGTGTAAAACTGTGATGGTTCACCAGGTCCAATTGCTTGTTTTCCAGAGAATGCAGCCCAGACCCTTCACTGATTCCAAAACAGGCTTCCTGCACCTCTGACCCCTGCCCACTCTTCCCGATGCCCCTGCTGCTCCAGCCCTGCTCCCGTCACAGCTCTGGCTTCCTCCGTTATCCCACTGTGGTACGTGCCCATGCATCCAGCCCCAGCCCCAGCCCAACTCACCCTGCTCCCAGCACAGTTCCTGCTTTCCCCTGCATTTTGCTGGGCACACCCCAGGCATCCAGCCCCAGCCTGCTGGGTACCACTGGCAGAGCCAGCAAGGAGCAGTGCTGCTCACCCACACCCAGATCCCCAAACCAGCAACCCCTCGTTCCTCTCCCTCATGGCCCAAAGGGAAGCGGTGTGGCCACGGCGCAGCGGGACTCACCCTCAGCGGGTTCTCCCGGTCCAGCACGATCACCCTGCGGCTGACTGTGTGCAGCAGCCGCTCCAGGATCACCTGGATGTGCTTCTTCACCTGCACCTGCAAGGGAAGAGATGTCAGGGCTGTGCCAGGGCATGTCCCAGCTGCGGGGCACAGCCCAGCTGTGGGGCACAGTGTGGCACTCCACAGCTCATTTGATCCCCTTGCAAGGACTGGTGGCATCGGGGTGGCAGGATGGGAACGAGCCGATCCGGGGCCGGAGTCAGAGCACGGCCACGTGCTCTGGTGTAAATACAGGACTCGAAATCTCTGTACAGCACAGCCCCACAAACCTGGCTGGGGACAGTGGGAACAGCTGGGGGTGCCTGGGAGTGACAGAGATGGCCACATTGGCACTGAGCAGGCAAAGGAGGGCTCAGCTCACGTGGGGTTGAAGCAAGCGCAGAATCCTCCCCTGAGAGAATCCCACCACCCTCTTCATAAAGGCTATTTTAGATTTAAAAGTTAAGCCCAAAATGAGACATTTCACCACAATTTCTGAGCTTTCCCTCCCGCTCCTTGGCTTCCCAGTGCTGTGGGGGTCAAACAGCCACCACGCCCTCCCAGAACACGGTGCAGATGTTCACCTTAGTTTCCACAACACCACTCACTGCGCTTCAGGTGTGACACCTGTGTGATCTCCCAAGGGTCCCTGAAAGGGGCTCCAGAGCACAGAGCAGCCAGGTGGGGCAGGAACAGAGGAAGGGTCCTGAAAGCACTGAGCCCTGCACGTTCCCAAAATGTGTGGGAACAGCACTGCCAGCAGCAGCCACGCGATGTCCAGCCACCCGACCCGGCTGTAGGAGGGCTGGGCTGGCAGGCAGGGCCAATGATGGGCTCACCAGGGGCAGGGCCGTGGGCGATGTGGCCGCAGGAAGGCAGGGATGGACAGCAGCCCCAGGAAGCACAGGGAGAGGGGGGCAGCTGCCAAAATCTGGGCATGCAGAGACACCCCCTATCTGAGGGGGACTCAGTTGACCACACAGGGTTTGTCACCATAGCCAGATGCAGACAAGCCCTTCCTAAAGGCTCAGGATCACCTGAACCCTTCCTACTACCCGCCACATGCTGAGGCTGCTGGAGGGACACTCACCAGCTCCAGGTCCCCACAGTCCTTGTCCTGTGCTCGCAGCTCCTCCGCGCTCTGCAATCACAGCACCCCGGGAACCGGACTGAGACCCTGCAGGGGTGGGCCTGGCCCACCCAGCCCACCCTGGATGGGCCACATTTGGGTGGGCAGGCACCCACAGCTTCTTCCTCCCTGGCCTCACCTCCTCCCTGGCTTCACCTTTCCTCCTGCCCTTGCCTTCCTCCTAGCTCTGCAGAGCCAGCAGTGTCCCCCCACCCTCAGGTTGGTGCAGTCCTTGAGCTTGGAAGCCTCTTCCTGACTCATGGGAATGGAGGGGAACCCACAGGAGACCCACTGAGTTGGAAACCATCAGGTTTTTGCCCCATTTTGGGTAGGTTCCTGCTGGGATGGCACCCACAGTCCCCTCCATGACTACACTCAGCTCCAACCATACTGTGGCCAGGAATTTGTGTCTAACCCCACTCAGAGTGATTTGGTCGGGTCACTGGCCAGATAATTCCTGAGTTACCTTCTGGGCCTGGTACAGCACCTCCAAGATGCTGCTGAGCAGCTCAGTGCAGGCATCCTCCTCCTCACCTGCCTGGATCAGCTCCCGCAGAATGGGCAGGGCTGCCTGCAGCACCAGTTCCCGGCACTCTGAAGGGGACAGGGGGGCACAAAGATGAGGCAATTGCCCCCGCTCTGTGAAGACACCATAGGCATGGGGCAGAGGAGGTGTCCTTGTGCAGGGAATTGTCCCCATTCTGTGCCCCCAGGTGAGCTCAGCAAGGGCCATGTCACCAGGACCCCCCTTATGCCCCCTCTCACCATGGGACTGGAAGACTCTGCTGCTGGCGATGTGGGTCAGGGACTGCAACTTCTGCTTCAGCAGGCGCTGGGGTGGCAGGTTCCCCACGAAGTCCCGCAGCACGGCCCTGCCGTTGGGAGAGGGGTTAACCCCGGACCCCCAGGTTCTGCTCAGGATGGGGCTGCTGGGGAGGGGGAGCCCCTCGATGGGGCAGAGCCATGCGGGGCAGGATGGTCTCAGAGGACAGCTGTGCCCACCACAGACACTGCAGGCACCCAGCGTACAAACCCTGCCTGGATTCCCAAAACACACCCAGCTGGGGCACAGCCCCTGCCCCAGCACAGGCAGCTGCTAAAACTGAGCAACCCCCTCCCATTTTTGCACTGGGAAGGGGATCAGGAGGTGATTCACAGGCATTAGGAGACCCAGATCCCTACACATAACCTCACTCTCGGCTCTGGGTCAGACACAGGGACAGAGGCAGCTGTGGAAGGTGCCAAGTGTGACACAGGGCTGGGAATGGTGGGGGCACAGGGACAGGGACAGGGACAGGGACCCTACCCCAGTGCAGAGGAGTCAAAGATCCCAAACACATCCTCGAGAATGGAGGGCAGGTACTTGAGGGCTGCTCCCTGCAAAGAGACCGGAGAGCTGCCAGCACTGACCCAGCACTGACCCGGGCAGGGCACCCACGGCTCTGCTTCCCAGACAACACCTGTGCCGAGGGGCTGCGGCCGGGGGGGTTCAGGCAGGGGATGGAACACAGTGGTCTTAAATCCCTTCCAACCCAAACCATTCGCTGATTCTGTGAGATTGGAGTATTGATCCATGTTCAGATGGGAGAGGGGATAAGGAGCCCCTCCGCTCCATGGGGATGACTGTCCTGTTGGCCTTCAAACTCCTTTTTCTTTCAGTTAGATCAGATTATATGGGAATGTCCAAGAATGTCATGACATAGTTAAGCACAGGGGCTGTCCCAGGGCTACCACACCT